AATGTTTAGTGTAGACAGGATGTCTAGCTCAGGCTGTGAAATGCTTAGTCATTCCCATGGGTTACTCCAGGTTGTTCAGGTTCAAGGATAGCTAGATGGAAAGTTGATTACTGTTAGGAGACAGAATATTTATTATTACTGTTATGATGTGTTTAACCATAATCGTAATCATAATATTTTCTTATGCTTAATGTCATGACATGTCACTAGATGTCATGTCAGAATGTCTTAGATACACACCACACAATCAACGGACAATCACATATTGAGTTTCTTCATGCTTTGACTAGTGCTATGGCCAGCTGCAAAGCTGGCACCGGAGACGTCACGGTTTGATGTCCCTGAGTACTATGGGCTAGCCAAAAGTGATATAATGTATTGGCCTGTTACGGTTCAGGGCTTTTCATCTACCAGCTGCCTGCGTGCATGTTGGAGGTGCAAAGACTTCCGAGCGTGTAATGTTAATTTATACCTGTGATCCTTGAATAAATCAGCACTGTTTTGAAGTTACTCAGACTGCTTTGTCTCTCAGAGTTAACGGTGAAAAGAACTGGGTCCAACACCAGACACTGACTTATTAATTAAATACAAGCTGAACAGATAATGTTGGAATTACTTAATACAGTCATGTTGGTTGTGCATAAAAAGTTAGTTTGACATTAGATATAATTTAGTAATACTCCTAATGCAACACAGTTATGTGGAAATTGTTGACATAGCTGGGTTAAGTAAACCCAACAAATTACTTTTTTGAGTGTGGTTCTCACTGTACGCTGGGGACAACCTGTCTCTAGGGGCGAATGCCTTCGCTCACCACCCCTGGCCAAGGGGTCTCCTCTACGCGTTCCCCCAGTCTCATTAATCCCACACCTCCTCTCACGCGTGCAAGATGAGTGGCTGCACGTCCTGATAGCTCCGGAGCGCACAGCTTGGTTTCCGACCATGGTTCAGTTGCTGGCGGGAAACCCCTGGCAGGGAGACACACTGTCTCAGTTGGACGGTGCGATCCAGCAGTCCATGATAGGTCAGCGGCTGTGGGCCTGGCCCCTGAACGGGAACGACTGGAGAGCATAGGATTGCCTTCAGCGGTGGTGCGCACTATTCAGTACGCCAGAGCTCAGTCAACAACGATGTCTTACAGTGCAAAGTGGTCAGCATTTCTGCGATGGTGCATGGAGAAAGGCACAGCTCCCACCTCCTGCCCGGTGGCTGAAGGGCTGACGTTTCTACAGATGTTACATCCGTGGTTCACGCCGTTCCCAGCACCTCGTCAGCTGGCACTGGGGGTACCGCGGACTCCGCCCCTACACAAGTAGATGCACAATCTCGGCGACGAGGCACACCTGTACCAATCATCGGAGCAGTGCTTAGGCACGGCATTGGTGTGTCCTCATCGCCAGACAATACTCTCGTCTTGCTACCAGCATCTTTGCAAAATCTACGCTCCCGATCTCTTCAACCGCATGTGCTGAACCACTCCACAGAACTTTTTCCTTTCGACCTGATTCACGGTGAAGTACTCACGTTCGAACTGTTTAACCGAGAAGTGCTTTGTTTTTGGATTTGTTTAATCGAGAAGTGAATTATGTTGAACAGTTAACTGAGAAATGTTTTGTCTCTAGACTTGTGTAATTAAGAAGTGATTTACATTTGGAACTGTTTTTGCTTTGGGACCTGTTTTGTTGAGAAACGATTTACGTTGAAACTGTCTATCTAAAAAGTGCTTTACCTTGGGAACTGCTTATCTGTGGAATGCCTTCTTGTGAACTGTTTTCTGGTGCTGATGGCAATCCTGTGGGCTTCGCCCGCCTGCTCTGAAGTACCTGCCTAAGGTGTGTGTTAGTATTAGCGCAGCTTTGGGTCTTGCTCCTCCCTATGTCTCTTATACTGGAAGTCAAGCCTCTTCCCCCCTCCCTGGCTCCCACCTACCTGCTCTGCCGTCCTCTGGGACACAACGCACCACACGCCGGTTCCGGTTCCTGAGACAACCTTCCCGGCCCTCAGCGTTCTCCGTCCAGAACCTGCATTCCCCTATGTGCAGGTCATCTGTTATCACACACCGTATTCACACCTTTGTCTGTCTGTTGCCCTCCCTCACGCTCTCCTTCTCTGCTCCTGAACAGTGTGTCACATCTCTCCGCCAACCCTGGGTTGCCCATCCAGTGGTCCAGTCATTACAGCTGCCCCAGCCACCCAAGACCCGCTACTGAATCCCCGCGCCTACTCCTCGTGGTCTTCTTCTTTTCATCTTACAATAAATATTTCCCTGACCTGGGTATGAGCCCTGCATCTCCTTGAGTCCTGCCTTTTCTGTTCAGATCTTCCTACTGTCCATGGTTGAATGAAGCCTGGCGCTGTCTACCGTTAAAGCGTATGCCGCCGCCATCTCCTCATGCCATGAAGGTTTTGGCAAGAGAACCGTATTTGCACACCCACTGGTATAACGTTTTCTCAGGGGTGTGGGCAGACTGAGACCTGTGATGCGCACAATGGTGCCACAGTGGAATCTGCCTCAGCCTAAGCCTGTGCTCAGCGGGCCTCCTTTTGAGCCCATGGCACACATCTCTCTCAAACATCTCTCCCTGAAAACAGCGTCCCTCCTAGCCTTGACCTCCACGCCTTCTGCCCAGTGCGCACTTTGTCCCATTACGTGGGGCGCACGGCAGCTGTCAGGCAGACACAACAGCTGTTTGTGCATTACAGGAGACACTCCCTTGGGTTTTTTCCTCACTGTCTGTGTGAAGCTATTACACAGGCTTACATATCGGCCGGGAGCGCCCCCCCGCCTGGCATCAGAGCCCATTCTACGCGAGCCATCGCGTCCTCTACTGGCCCTACTCCACTGCCCTTCTTAGAGGCATGGCTGTGGAAGATATCTGCGTGGCAGCCTCCTGGGCTTCCCCTTGTCCCTTCACCTGTTTTTACCTCCGGGATATATCCGAGTTCTCACTGGCTCACTCGGTCCTGAGTGTCACGCACAACGGTGAGCCCCTTCCCCATCGTGTCACGTGAATGCGCCACTACCGCTGATCGCTGACCCTGGGTCACTAGCTCAGGCAGCAAAATGAACAGCCAAACTCCAACCAGTTTGATCGTTGTGCGCTTGTGCGGTGTGTGCCCTGCTACACTCACACACACACTCCATGCACCCCCATCACATGCGGCCCCACTGGCCATCTTTTCTGTGATGCGCCCATGGGCACTTGTTCTTTTCGCCGCACGCTGCGCACTGGTGGGATGTGTGCTCTGCTTCATTCACACACACCCCATGTGCTCGTTTTTTGCCGTGCGCGGCTTAGGCATGTATGTCTCATTATCCAACATGCTATTCAGCATTACGTACAGTAACCCAAGCTTCTATGAGTATAGGCGTAGCCCTCTAAGCTGGCGGCCCTGCTGTCCCCACCCCCGCCATTTGAAGAAAAAGTGCCAGGGTTTTTTTTTTTAGGGGGTAGAGGTAAGGGCGTTCAAAAAAAGTGGCACTTATCAAAAGTGCCAATGTGAAACGCCATTATGAGACAAAACATAAAGGTTTTGAACAAACTTACCCACTCAAATCTGAAGTGAGATCACAGAAAATAAGTAGTCTCAGAGCCCAATATGACCAGTCCACCAGGATCCTGAGCCACACATTCACTGCCCAACAATGTGCTCATGAGTGTTCCCTCAGAGTTGCTTGGATTTTGGGTCAACACAAAAAGCCGTTTACTGATGGAGGGGTTGTCAAAGAATGCATGAGTGCAGTAGCTGAAACACTACTTGAGGGAAAACAAAAACAAGAGATTTGTGATAAACTAAAGCAAATACCCATGTCAGCATCATCTGCCACAAAGAAAAGTGAAATATTGACTCAGGATGTGCTAACCCAGCTATATGAAGCCCTTCATAAGGCACCATGTGTAGGCTTAGCTGTGGATGAGTCCACTGACATGTGTGACAATGCTCAGCTGTTAGTGTGTGTCAGGTTTTTCAGCACAGACCAGAAAGCATTCTGTGAAGACCTGTTAGGTGTCACTCCCCTTCAAACCAATACAAGAGGAGAAGACATCTAACTGGCCATTAAGGAGAGGAATAGAGCCAAAAAAACTGGTTTCAATAGCCACAGATGGAGCCCCTGCTATGATAGGGAGAGAGAAAGGAGCTGTAGCAAGACTAAAAGAGGACAATCCTGAGCTCATAGCCTACCATTTGCAGCACATTGCATCATTCATCAATCTGTCCTCTGCACCTCCATGTCAGATGAGCATGCTGAGGTGATGAATACAATGATGAAAATGATAAATTTTCTCAGGGCATCCTCTTTCTACCAATATCGCATGCTTAGGGAATTACTCAGACAAGTTGATGCCAATGCTAATGATCTTTCGCTGCACAATAATGTGAGATGGCTCAGCAAAGGCAGGATATTGGCGTGCTTTTGGTCCATTAGGAGGGAAGTAGCATCTTTTTGGGCAGATCTAAGAAGTCAGAAGGCAACACAGTTTTCTCTCTTTTTAGAAAATGAGAAGCAGATGGACAATGTGGCCTTTTTGGTTGATATCACTTCATATCTGAATGAACTGAATTTGAGGCTACAGGGCAAGGACAATTCAATTTGTGAACGGATGACAGCTGTCTGCTCCTTTCAGAGAAAACCTGAGGTGTTCAAGGAAGACCTGCAGGGAGACTGTGTACACTTCCCAGCAGTGCAGGAACAGGTTCAGGGACAGCGAGATGTGTCTTCTTTTGTTGACTTTATTGATAAGCTGATTGTAAACTTCAGCAACCATTTTGACAGCTTCAGCTTTGGACAACAGCTCAACATATTCATTCAGAACCCATTTTTCATCACAGATGTCAGTGGGTTGGTCAGGGGGTTCTCAAAGGAAGTCACAAAGCACTTTAAATGGGCAAATGCTGGGCCTCTCCAGATGCAATTGATTGATCTCCAAGCAGATGTGGCCCTGAAAGAGCACTTTGTAAGAACTGACCCTTCTACTTTCTGGCTCCAAATGGTCCCTGAGACAGCTTTCTCAGGTCTGAGGAAAGTAGCCCTATATATCTTGACCATGTTTGGCTCCACACACAACTGTGAGGCAGCTTTGAACATAATTAAAACAAAATATTGTTTCAGACTCACCAATGAGCACCTCCATATGTGTATGAGAATGGCCCTGACTCCATTCAAGCCCAGGTTTAAAATCCTGGCAGGACAAGCTAGAGCTCAATTCTCTCACTGAGCAAAAAAGTTGAATATAAGACGGGAAGAAAGTGAGCCTCTAAAACTGTTCAATTGTTAAGATGTGTTGGGATTTATTATCTGTAAAGTTGGTTGAGACTGTTGAGTCAAGATGTGAAACAGAAATGGTGCAATTCAAACTATTCTCCCTTTATTTTATTTTTTCTGAAGTTAAGCACTTTATTTGAACATGCACAACTTTCACATTTTATTTATTTTCTCTTATTTTGAAATGCAGCCCTACCTTTCTTTAGTAAATGAGAGAACATTAAATATATCAGCAGTCATACATATACGTTCAGTTCTATCTTATGTGACAATAAATATTGTTACAAGGTTTTTGAATTGTACTGAATTCATTTGATTTGACAGTTAGACATTGATTACATGCAGATGTTGATACAACTACTAGGCTACTTAAATATTGTGGTGGCCCTGACCAGCCGCTGGTGTTCATGCTCTGTTCTGTGTTGAGTGGGTGCAGCTTTAATGTCAAAGCGGTGTGTTTGTATTGGTTGCCACTATTTTCTGGGGAATGCTGTGCTGTTCTGTCCAATGTGGTGTCTGGGGAGGGACAGATGTGTGAGGGTATAAGAAAGATAACAGGTGGGCGTGTGCGTCCAGTTGGCGCGGAACATGGGGTGTCCTGAGAGAGTGTTGCTACTGCTTTCCTTTTGCTATTCATTTTTCCTGTGAGCACACGGTGCCAGGTATATAACAGTTTCATTTTGTGTTCTCTATTCTGTTCAATAAAATCCAAGAAAAGACAGAGAAGGTGTAGCTCCGCTCATCCGAACCAGCGGAGCGCCACAATATATATCATACTAAATAGTTAGACATTATGATCTTCCGGACCTTCGCTTCAAGAAATTTTCTCTAACTGGACCTCTTTTTTATTTGAATACCCCTGAGTTAGATCATTCTTAAACATCAATGTGTTGAATCTTGTGTCAGTAATGCAATTTATTAAGAATTAAAGTCTGCTCTAGTCTGCTCTGTTTCAAGGTTAGCAGTAAGCTATGACACCAATTGTTTTCCTGTATTAATCTTGTGTTGAATACTATGTCTGAATAAATAAGTGAATGTCTTAGTTAGGCACCACGTGACAACACACACACATCGAAATTTTTCATTTTGTTATGACTAGGTAAAACGCAGCTGCTCCAAGTATGTGAAGCTCTAGATAAGAGATGGAGTCTGCGGACTGACTTCATCTGTGTAAAGGGAGTAGCCCAAAACCTATAAACGTATTAGGCTATGTGTTTCTGGGAAGCATGAATGTTATTTAAGAGCTGAACATTTTGATACCTGAAATAGCTGAAATTATGCTGAAGTAGAATTTCCCCACTCATTTGAATGGGGCAAAACTTTCAAAATAAAGCTAAACACTTGAAAAGGTATGAAGTTTTGGAAAAATTTAGAATGAAAGCATGAATGTCCTTGAAGAGCTGAACGTTTTCATAGCTGAAAGTATGCTGAAGTAGAATATTCCCATTCACTTGAATGGAGCAAAATTTCCAAAATAAAACTAAATATCTTAAAAGTATGGAGTTTAGAGAAATTCTGAGTAGAAGCACGAATATCCTTATGGAGCTGAACATTTTGATAGCTGAAAGGATGCTGAAGTAGAATTTTCCCATTCATTTGAATGGGACAATATTTTCAAAATAAAGCTAAATATTTTAAAAAAAATATGAAGTTTGGAAAAATTCTGAATAGAAGCATGAATGTCCTTGAAGAGCTGAACATTTTGATAGCTGAAATTATGCTGAAGTAGAATTTCCCCATTCATTTAAATGGGGCAAAACTTTCAAAATAAAGCTAAATATTTGAAAAGGTATGAAGTTTTGCAAAAATTCTGAATAGAAGCATGAATGTCCATGAAGAGCTGAACATTTTGATAGCTGAAATAGCTGAAAGTAGGCTGAAGTAGAATTTCTCCTTTCATTTAAATGGGCAAAATTTTGCTTGAAAAACACTAAATAGTTTAAAAAGTATAAAGGTTATAAAAAAGAAAAATAATAGCATAAATGTCCTTAAAAAGCTCAACATTTTGATACCTGAACAGTTTAAATAGTAACAATTGAATTTGAGCGTTTATATGAGCTTATATGTGTGTATGCTCCTACTAGATTTTTTTCTTAATAGTATAGAAGGAAAGAAAAGGAATGTTCGTTTTTGAAATTGTACTGACACAACTATGTGGGCATTAGAGATTTAACAAATGTAGGCAGTACAAACCCTTAACTATGTTAATTGAGATATAAAGGAAGTGTAAACGGCAGTTAAATAGCTTTTGGGGTTGGGCTTGTGGACGTATTACAGCACAATTACACAAGGACAGGGTTTGCTAGTTATGGTATTAGTGACGTTACCCATGGAGCAGTTAATGCAAAATCAATGCGGAATTTCACATAGAGAGTTTATGGCTGCTCATTTTTTTCATTTGCAGCAATTAAGTTTGATTTTCTGTACCTGTAGAAAAACTCGTCACCTGTTATGACTTTAAATTGTAAAATCATTTCAGAATAATAAAACTAGAGAGGCATTTTGTGAAACTGAGATGATAGTTAATGACTTTTGCTGCTGTTACCATGCTGCACGGCAACAGAATAATGAATCGGAATTGCATTGCGTGATATGAATTTAAAGAAAATGCAGTGAAAAGTAATTATTTAAAGTAAGGTGTTAAGGGATGTTAAATATTTTGCCCTTTTTTAATGAAAAGTAATTAACCCATTTCTCTTTTTGACTTCCCTATCTCTACAGCTTCACTAATCATCATCTTAGACTTCATAAACCTTTTTCTAAGAGAAGCATCTTTTTGGTGAGTCTACTTTTACACTAACTGTAAGTAAATTTTTGCTGGGGTAGCTGTAATCATGTCCTCGACTCCTCGTCATTTGTGTTGTTTTCTGTATAACAGTAATAAGTTGTAGTTTGTTTCTATTATAGTTTTAGCAAACAGTGAACAGTAAAAAAAATATCTTAAACAAATTGGCAATGAAAGGGAGTAGAATTTTTTAAAATACAGTGCCTTGTGAAAGTATTCGGCCCCCTTGAACTTTGCGACCTTTTGCCACATTTCAGGCTTCAAACATAAAGATATAAAACTGTAATTTTTTGTGAAGAATCAACAACAAGTGGGACACAATCATGAAGTGGAACGAAATTTATTGGATATTTCAAACGTTTTTAACAAATAAAAAAATGATCCAATGTTGACCTAAATGACTAATGATGATAAATAGAATCCACCTGTGTGTAATCAAGTCTCCGTATAAATGCACCTGCACTGTGATAGTCTCAGAGGTCTGTTTAAAGCGCAGAGAGCATCATGAAGAACAAGGAACACACCAGGCAGGTCCGAGATACTGTTGTGGAGAAGTTTAAAGCCGGATTTGGATACAAAAAGATTTCCCAAGCTTTAAACATCCCAAGGAGCACTGTGCAAGTGATAATATTGAAATGGAAGGAGTATCAGACCACTGCAAATCTACCAAGACCTGGCCGTCCCTCTAAACTTTCAGCTCATACAAGGAGAAGACTGATCAGAGATGCAGCCAAGAGGCCCATGATCACTCTGGATGAACTGCAGAGATCTACAGCTGAGGTGGGAGACTCTGTCCATAGGACAACAATCAGTCGTATACTGCACAAATCTGGCCTTTATGGAAGAGTGGCAAGAAGAAAGCCATTTCTTAAAGATATCCATAAAAAGTGTCGTTTAAAGTTTGCCACAAGCCACCTGGGAGACGCACCAAACATGTGGAAGAAGGTGCTCTGGTCAGATGAAACCAAAATCGAACTTTTTGGCAACAATGCAAAACGTTATGTTTGGCGTAAAAGCAACACAGCTCATCACCCTGAACACACCATCCCCACTGTCAAACATGGTGGTGGCAGCATCCTGGTTTGGGCCTGCTTTTCTTCAGCAGGGACAGGGAAGATGGTTAAAATTGATGGGAAGATGGATGGAGCCAAATACAGGACCATTCTGGAAGGAAACCTGATGGTGTCTGCAAAAGACCTGAGACTGGGATGGAGATTTGTCTTCCAACAAGACAATGATCCAAAACATAAAGCAAAATCTACATTGGAATGGTTCACAAATAAACATATCCAGGTGTTAGAATGGCCAAGTCAAAGTCCAGACCTGAATCCAATCGAGAATCTGTGGGAAGAACTGAAAACTGCTGTTCACAAACGCTCTCTATCCAACCTCACTGAGCTCGAGCTGTTTTGCAAGGCGGAATGGGCAAAAATTTCAGTCTCTTGATGTGCAAAACTGATAGAGACATACCCCAAGTGACTTACAGCTGTAATCGCAGCAAAAGGTGGCGCTACAAAGTATTAACTTAAGGGGGCTGAATAATTTTGCACGGCCAATTTTTCAGTTTTTTATTTGTTAGAAAAGTTTGAAATATCCAATAAATTTCGTTCCACTTCATGATTGTGTCCCACTTGTTGTTGATTCTTCACAAAAAATTACAGTTTTATATCTTTATGTTTGAAGCCTGAAATGTGGCAAAAGGTCGCAAAGTTCAAGGGGGCCGAATACTTTCGCAAGGCACTGTATACTGTATATATGCTACTGTATTTATGTTTTTGTTTTGTTTTTAAATATTTGCTAGTTGTACAGTAATAGCACACCTATTGCATCTTGACACATGTATAGCAGACATTAAAATATTGTTTCCTATCATAGGCACACAACGTTGATCCTGTTCTGTGTTTCACTGTGTAAGTATAGAAGAACTCATGTTGAATATAAAATCAGACTGCATGACATGAATATGTGCATCTTATTAGGTATACCTGTAAAACTGTATGCATTTTAATGCATACACATCTGTGTAATGTTTCACTTTTAGGTGAAATTTAAAAAAATGTATAAATTCAATTTTATGGCAAATATTGAGTCAGTAGTTAAGGGCGGTGTTGGATTGTATCACATTATATGCAGAGGTGTTTCTGTGTTTGTGTTCTCAGAAGTTACATGATAAGGTCAGAATATTTGGAACACTTGTGGATGTGATGTTGGCCAGAATGATTGTGTCTACCATTTGTTGAAAACAAATTTGAAGAAGAGAAAACAGAGGTCATAAGGAGAAGATATAGAAAATTTTTAGATGAAGTCATCAGTTTTCACTGTATGTGTGATATCACAATTGTAACAGTTGGATGTTTCTCTTCATAGCGGTCAATGTGTACTATTTGTCATGTTCTCCCATTTTAACAAAGTTTCAAACATATTTACATTTTTTTAGATAGAATTGCAATATTACCTTGTTTACCATCATTGAGTCTTGTGTGTCCATGACTCTGTCTTTGGGTTACTGTTCATCTTTCTGTAGATCACTTTTGGTAGATGCTAAGCATTACAGACTGGGAACATGCAGTAAGGCCAGCATTCTGGGGGATTCTTTGACACAGGGGTGTAGCTATAACAGTATTTTTTTAATTAGAGTAAAATACAATTTATTATGCCTAAAATGAAAAGGCTATAGTATCTAGCATTAATAGATCAATACATAAATAATCTCTACATTACCTATACATGCCTATCCTGTTTTGCTATGTTAGCTATGTTGCTAGAGTGTGCAGAGTTCATCACAGGGTTGACTAAATACATACAGTCATACATATTTTAATGTGTAATAGTAGTGTAGTGGTTTAAGTTACATGTTAATATGGATTATGTAATGGAATAGAAAGTTTGTGTGCTCACTTTTAAGTTCATGTGAGCTGAACAATGAGCTTATATAATTTGGTCAACATGTTTCCTGTTTTTGGGTACATATCAGGGTGTTGTCTCCTAAAACTGGAGACAGGACGCTAAGTTCAGAAATTGATGTAACAGCCTAAGAAAAGCTGTGGATAAAACAGTGAGGCTGAAGGATGTAGAGAAAGAAGAAAGGATGGTACGGCCATCGTGAGTGTATTTTTGGACCAGGCCGGGGGGACTTTGGACTCTGACGGACTGAACCCTGTGATCAAGACTGACTGTCTCTCTGACAGTCTTGTTATTTAATAATGTATCTATTCCAATGCAGGAGGAGTGATTCTGATCTCTGTCCCCTAACTACCAGATTACCTATTTAACTACTACCCTGTTCAGAATAATTGTAATATTAAATGATTATTTAAATTGGGATTTGTCTGAATTAATTTAGTCTGTATCACAACAGTAGTATATCTAATTATGTTTGTGTTTTTGTCATTTTAGAATGGCTCTTCAGAACCTGCTGAATACAAAGCCAGAGACCCCGTACGTCTATCAGTTTTATTATTTTCCTCCCTTTATAAAGATCCAAATAAATAATAAAAACAATCTTAAAATGGCTGTTTGCATTTATCATTACAGTAATGCCAGAAATAAAGGTTTTCACTGTTTTTCTTTTCAAGGCCTCTGACCCACTATGCCTCTGCTGTGATGCTGTTCTCACACCAAACTTTGACCATGCAACTGAAAGCAGTGGTTCAGGAGCCACATGAAAAGCCAGAGCCAGAATCACCTCTAACATACTGTCACCACATCAATAGCTTTATACTATCCCATCCAGTTAAGTGGAGCCTAACTACAGCTGACCTTCAAGCAAGCCATCACATTGGTCATTAATGGGGGACTAGCCCAGGTCTAACTATAATGTGAAAAGCTTTTGATGGTAGGACTCAAAAATAATTTCAATAAGTAAAATTGTAATAACTCTGTTAATCAGAATTCTTTTGAGTTATGTGCACAAATATCACATTAAAAATTTGTTTTGAAAAGTTTATCTAAACTGGTATTTGGGATGAAATATTACATTGTGTCACTGATTTATTTTGACACACCCGCTGAAAATTCATAAAAGTGTTTGACATATTTTTCATGCACTTACCTAGAACTTCTTAACTTGACAAACAATATGTTGTCTGGCTCTTAACTTTTTAAAACTTAAATGGAGTGTGTGTTGCTTGGTGACCCAGGTACCATATCTGCCTTTGGCCAGGGTCTTGGTACCTTGGCTCCGCATCTGAAGGGTAGTGTACAAAGATAGGAAATACATTTCAGAGTAAATTAGTAAAGGATAAGCAGATCAACTCAGTTGTGAAATCGAGCTTCTTCCAAATGAGATTACTAAGTAAAGTCAAGTCACTGAAATAGCTGAAGGGTAAGATGAACAGAATAACTGTGCACGTCACTAAGCATGGACACAAAATGGACAATGAAATAGCTAGATGGAACAGTTATTGCAGAGCATCGAGTGCAGCTGACAATCTAGTGTACATAGAAAGAGCACATAACCTGAAACAGAACAGTGGTACAATCCACAAGGTTCAGAGAATGGCAACATCAGCTGTAGTTTCACTGAAGCACATTTTTGAACGTGGCATGGCTTATATAGCTCTCAGCAGAGTGACCTCCCTTAGTGGACTGCACCAACTGGACATGGATGAGACATAATTTTATTTGAATCCAGAGATCACATCAGCCCTGGAGACCAACATGGATGACATGATGTTGCTTCTTCAGATCAGACAAACACCGAGTAGACCGTACACTGACCATCATTCAGCTCATCCCCTCCAGTAGTCTGATGATGAATACAATCAAGACATTATTGTGCAATAAACCAAAAACTGCAGCACAATCTCAACTATCAATCAAAATTGGACCCATCTGGACTGCATAGAGAAATGCTGTACTTCCTGCTGGTCAGTGCTATTTCTTTGTAAAAAAAAATAGTAAATTTGTTTTAATTGTGTTTATTTATCTATTCAGATTTTAAACTGTTGTTGCTGTGTTCTGTCTTTTGTAATAAAACTATAGTGGTATTTACATAAATATTTTTCATCACGTTTTCTGTCATCCCTCCACTTCAAATTGAAACTTTCCAGAATATGTCTTTATTAAGTCAAACTGAACTAAAACTGGTTTCCTGCCCTCTAGCAGTGCTCAAGGTAGGCAATTAGAAACAAGAAATGGCTTTAGTTCTTTGTTGAAAAAGCTGAAGGATTAGATAAGATAACCTCGGGAGATGACTGCTCTACCCACCACACTGTCATGATTCGGTTCCACTGCTTCCTGTCCGGCTTTTATTTTGATGCTCTTTCCTGTTTTTGTTTCACCTCTGTTTCGGTCTTTTTACTTTCACTAATCACTTATATTAGATTCACCTGCCCCCGATAGTTTGCACCTGTTTGCACCACAATATAAGCAGCCTTCACCCACCAATCCTGGCCAGATTGTTCTAGACCCCAGCTCTGACTTTCCAGCATTCTTTCTCTGCCTGATTATCTTGTTCTGACCCCGGATTGCCTGTTGACCACCGTGTTTTGCCTTATTCCCCTAGAATCTGATTGCCTGCTGTGTACCGACCTCTATCTGCTCCCTGATCTCCCTCTTGTGACCTCCTGGCTGTTGATGTTTACCGGCGCTGACCTCGGACTGTATTATTGACCTGATTCTGATTCTGGACTTGTATTGTTGTTGGTAGTAAAAAAAGAAACCTATTCTCTACCTCTGTTTGTCTGGCTATATAATTGAGTTCCACACTAACATTACCGAAACCCCGGATTTTACAATCTAGCCAATATGAACTCAGCCAGCGAACAGGACCGGGACTGGTGGGCCAGCATGGAACAAGCCCTAGCCATCCAAGGGGCAGCCCTGGGCCAGCTTCGGATCGACCTGAGTCGTCGGAACCATGAGGAGGCTGGCAGTACTGCAACTGGGGCTTGTGCGTCTCCAAACATACTGGTGTAGTGGTTAACAATAAACAAGAT